GAAGTTCACAACTTTAGATTTTATTTCTTATTCGTGGGCTAAAGGAAGTGATATTTAAACGTCAGTAGCCCATACTTCAAAAATATCACCAAACTTAGCATATATATATTTGTTACAATAGCGTCAAAAGTCGATGTTCAAGTCGTGGTTCTGCATTTCTGGTCTACTAACATCTACATTATCGTAGGTTACAAGCTTTTATAGTATTTTAGACTGGGGTATTAACCCTAACCTGTTTTGATACAGTTCACTACAGGTGGGGTCCACATATTGCTACAACACTCCGTTTACAGACTTGCCCCACAAAATATAGGGTGAAAAGGTAGGAGATCCAAGCAGAAATTACCTGAAATATTTATAGTAGTTGTGGTAACACTTTTTTGAGTGACTCGTGTGTTTTAAGGACCTCGTAACCAACAAAGTCATAAACACAGAAACAATCTGTTATATAAACAGTTTAGAAAAATATTTCAACCTCGTAGTGATCATAGAAATGACTTTCGTCAATGCGAGATACAAGTATCACTCGGGTGTCCTTCAAGGAATCCTTATCTCAAGTACTGTGTGCATTTAGACAAATATAATCGTCAGGAACAGTCAGAGACAAAGAAAGGAGAACGTCTACATAGTCCAATATCATTCCCCACGTCAACAATTCAACACATCTAATCATAGATGTGACTTTGTGTATATTTATAATTGTTGACCTCAACCATGTTTTAAACCTCTGACACTTACTAGAAGTAAACAATCTTATACTCAATGTAACGTCCATGTCAAGGTATGCCAAAACGTTGAAGTGCTTTCAAGGTATTGAAAAATAAAGTTAAGCTCAAGTTCTTCAAACTGATCTTAAGATATAAACGTTCGAAAACATTTCAAAACATATCCTAAAGGTAAATACAGTTTTAATAAAATCCATCAATCAATAATTATGACATTTATTCATAAAAGTTATTTTAGTGAAAACGAATAAAATATACAAAAAGTGACGTATTGAAGTGACTTTTAAACACAGTTATTTACACATTTGTTAATTGCTTTTAATTATAAACCTCTACTCTGGGAAATTAATGGAGGGGGGGGGTTGATAATAAATACGCTCATCCTCCCTAATTTTCAAGTGATAGACCACAGGGAAGGCAGCTAGCCAACACCACCCACCGTCAACTCTTGGGCTACTCTTTTACAATAAATATTATATTTATATCGGCCATTATATCAAATGTAGACCTAGTGCAGCGAATAAGGTTCGAGCTGTGAAGGTCAACCCCAGTATTCAGCTAACAGTAGCCGTTTAGGCGGGAGGTATTGTTGATTAATTGCTGGTTAACGGGTCTGGATTAGGGTTAGTTGTACCTGATCTTTGGAGTCTCTGATGACTCGTCCGTTTAGCCCATGTGTCGCATTAGGTACCTTTCATATTAACAAATATCGAATGCTAATGCATAATCAATAACATAAAACATCAAGAAACTTGTTTGACTTTCCTACTAAAATTTACAAATTATTTTTTTTATATCTTGTTGGCAGTTTGTTCATTTTGTTGTTAAGCGCAAAGCTACTCAGTGTGTTATCTGTGCTGCGCTCACCACGTGTATCGAAACTCGGTTTTTAGTGTTATATTCCTTCAGACTTACTGCTGAGCCATTGGAGGGGGAGGGGTGTTGATAATAAATACGCTCATTCTCCCTAATTTTCAAGTGATAGACCACAGGGAAGGCAGCTAGTCAACCACCACCCACCGCCAACTCTTGGGCTACTCTTTTACAATAAAAAAAATATAATTGATCGTCACATTATAACCGCCCCACAGCTCAGAGTGCAAGCACATTCGATGACGGGATTCGAGCTCGCGACCCACAAATTTCGAATCGAGTGCCAGGCTTTCTACACCATTGGGAACCCAGACTGAATATACGTTTTATAAAAATAAAAAAATACAGTGTATGCTTGATGAGGGGTGACAGTATATTGTAATATGATTCACTGCACTGATAATGTCCAACTCCCCAAGGTTGTACTTCACTGTCCTGATGGTGTCCAACTACCAAAGGTTGTACTGCACTGTCCTGATGGTGTCCAACTCCCCAAGGTTGTACTGCACTGTCCTGATGGTGTCCAACTCCCCAAGGTTGTACTACGCTGTCCTGATGGTATCCAACTCACCAAGGTTGTACTGCACTGTCCTGATGGTGTCCAACTCCCCAAGGTTGTACTACGCTGTCCTGATGGTATCCGACTCACCAAGGTTGTACTGCACTGTCCTGATAGTGTCCAACTCCCCAAGGTTGTACTACGCTGTCCTGATGGTATCCAACTCACCAAGGTTGTACTGCACTGTCCTGATGGTATCCAACTCACCAAGGTCGTATTGCAGTGTCCTGATGGTGTCCCACGCCACAAGGTTGCACTGCACTGTCCTGATAATATCCAATTCCCCAAGGTTGCACTGCGCTGTCCTGATGGTGTCCAACTCTCCAAGGTTGTACTGCACTGTCCTGATAACATCCAACTCCCCAAGGTTGTAATGCACTGTCCTGATAATGTCCAACTCCCCATGTTATTCTGGGGCAACCAGTCACATTCAGAGCTTCTGATGAAGTACAATTATTCCAGTTTATATCAATTCCCAGTATTCTCCATAGCAATTAATGTTCTTAAGGATCACATCCACGTCTGATGATGTCCAGTTTTTTTGTTCATGTCACAAATAATGTGCAAGTCGTAGGATGAGAAAAGTGTTTCAGTGTAAGTTAAATCAATTGACCTATTTCAGGATCATTTGTTAAGTTTAAAATCTCTACATCTTGTACAGTAATGAACAGAACTTTGTTGTTGACCTGACAGTAACCAACAGAACTTTGTTGTTGACAACAGTAACCAACAGAACTTTGTTGTTGACCTGACAGTAACCAACAGAACTTTGTTGTTGACCTGACAGTAACGAACAGAACTTTGTTGTTGACAACAGTAACCAACAGAACTTTGTTGTTGACCTGACAGTAACGAACAGAACTTTGTTGTTGACCTGACAGTAACGAACAGAACTTTGTTGTTGACAACAGTAACCAACAGAACTTTGTTGTTGACAACAGTAACCAACAGAACTTTGTTGTTGACCTGACAGTAACCAACAGAACTTTGTTGTTGACCTGACAGTAACGAACAGAACTTTGTTGTTGACCTAACAGTAACCAACAGAACTTTGTTGTTGACCTAACAGTAATCAACAGAACTTTGTTGTCGACCTAACAGTAATCAACAGAACTTTGTTGTTGACCTGACAGTAACGAACATAACTTTGTTGTTGACCTAACAGTAACCAACAGAACTTTGTTATTGACCCGACAGTAATGAACAGAACTTTGTTGTTGACCTAACAGTAATGAACAGAACTTTGTTGTTGACCTAACAGTAATGAACAGAACTTTGTTGTTGATCTGATATTAATGAACAGAACTTTGTTGTTGACCTGACAGTAACCAACAGAACTTTGTTGTTCAGGTTAACGATACATGACCAGAACTCCTGAATTAGTTTTTGTTTTATTCTGTTCTAGTCATTACACGATAAGAGCGACTTAAGTTCGAGTTATTTAAAGATATATTTTGCAACTGTTACGTGTTCCTGTTAGGCTTCATCATGAACGTCGTCCTTCTGTTAACCTTAACTACATTGTCACTTGTTCCTGTTAGGCTTCATCATGAACGTCGTCCTTCTGATAACTTCAACTACATTGTTACTTGTTCTTGTTAGGCTTCATCATGAACGTTGTCCTTCTGTTAACTTCAACTACATTATTACTTGTTTCTGTTAGGCTTCATCATGAACGTCGTCCTTCTGTTAACTTCAACTACATTGTTACTTGTTTCTGTTAGGCTTCATCATGAACGTCGTCCTTCTGTTAACTTCAACTACATTGTTACTTGTTTCTGTTAGGCTTCATCATGAACGTCGTCCTTCTGTTAACTTCAACTACATTGTTACTTGTTCCTGTTAGGCTTCATCATGAACGTCGTCCTTCTGTTAACTTCAACTACATTGTTACTTGTTTCTGTTAGGCTTCATCATGAACGTCGTCCTTCTGTTAACTTCAACTACATTGTTACTTGTTCCTGTTAGGCTTCATCATGAACGTGGTACTTCTGTTAACTTCAACCTCATTGTAACGTGTTCTTGTTAGGCTTCAACCTCGTAATTATTTTGCAATTAAAGTTCTCTGATGCAAGTTGTTTCCCAACCTGTACCTATCAGGTTATTATTATTTATATCAAATCAATCGAAAATAAAATTGGATTGTATCGGTTGTTCTTGTAAAAGCTACACACGTGCTACCTGCCCTAACCGACCTTAATGTTGATCCGATAGACAAGTAGGAAGGCAGCAAGTCAACAACACGTTCCACCAACTTTGGGCTACTTTGTTTTTAAGAAACATTAAAAACATCTGACCTCCATTCTGCTAACAGAGTGCGGTATTTTTTTGGTTTGGTTTTGTGGTAACAAGATCAGAACCACTACGATCTAAAACCCGGCGTGCAAACAATAAACCATGCCCGGCCCACAAAACGAAGAACCATACATAATATAGAGAAAACTTTTCTGACTGTATTAAAATCTTAAATACCGTTTCCAGGACAACACGATAGAGTTTTATTCTCCTTGTCTGGAAGAATTACAAATACTACACCTGCATCTTAACAAAAAGATAATCCAACTTAAGCTATGCAACAACTAAACCTGTGGGCCAACCCAATTCAAAGTAAGTTTTGTGGACATACAACAAAAGTTCGACCAATGAGAGGAAAACTCGTTTTTCTTTATTCCCAGAGCCCCGTTCAAATAAACATCTGAGCAACCAATCACATCAACGGCCGTACGTGGGTGGAGAGAAAAGCTAACAGCACGTGCTCTCAGTCCCCCCCTTTCGCCACATGGCACAGGAAGCTGGACAATCAGGCCCGCAGAGATATCTCACTCCCCTCAATAAGTTTCTGACAGGTGTGCCCCAACTCCTCCTTTACCTTCCTCGTCATAAGGGCAACCTGCCCCAAGTCTCTTATCCTATCACCCCCAACAAAGTAGGCATTACCCACGTCACTAAAGTGGAAGTCACTATAAATAACCTTGTAGTAGAACCAACGGCATGAAACCTGAATGAGTACGTAATCCGGGCACACTAAGTAAGAGAAACGACCGCCATATCAACCGCGGCAGTGACTGTGTGGCTCTCGCGCGAACCGATTAGATCACGTGGTGTCTACCTAAACGGCTGAGATTCGACGAACCAATTACAAAATAGTGGACGATGATTTGGTGGGAATCCGGACTAGTCCACCGTGATCCTATCTCTCGAATGTTTATCATTACTTTACTTACAACGTATATGTTCGTTATTTCGGCTAGTAAACTGCCCTTCAACTTCCGTCATGGACATAAACCTCCCTTCCCGATCTTCTACCAAACAGGGGTAAGTATTGTTTATAAATAATGCCACTTTTACTCCTATTCTACGTGCAACAGATATTGTAAGATAAGTTCTACACATCTTATCGTTAGGTCCAACATCATGGAAAAGAAAATGTGACTAACTAACAAGTAAAACAATACAGAAATCCTTTCCTAGAATGATATCTAAAAGAAAAAAAAAACAAATTTGGGAAGAAGTCTAATAAATGTCAGATAGTTTATATATATTATATTATATTTTAATTCGTCAAGCACAACAAAGGTGTTTTCAGTATTATTATTATATGAGGTGGGAAAATTTCCTACTAAATCAAGAGTGATTTTTGATAGCTAAGCCTAGTTATTTCTATCGTTTCGAGTGCACCTAAAAGAGCAATTAATAAACAAACAAACGTCGTCAGTTTTATGAAGCTAAGCCTAGTTATTTCTATCGTTTCGAGTGCACCTAAAAGAGCAATTAATAAACAAACAAACGTCGTCAGTTTTATGAAGTTAAGCCTAGTTATTTCTATCGTTTCGAGTGCACCTAAAAGAGCAATTAATAAACAAACAAGCGTCGTCAGTTTTATGAAACTAAGCCTAGTTATTTCTATCGTCTAGAGTGCACCTAAAAGAGCAATTAATAAACAAACAAGCGTCGTCAGTTTTATGAAACATGCGAAATATTTTTCTATGACTTTTTAAAAAAGGGGAGATTGTATCGACGTCTGTGAAACAAAACAGGGATCCGGGAAGTTCTGTAATGTGGTCTTCCCTCTCTTAAATAAACACAAAAAACTCTTTCTCTTAAGGTAAGAAATCCCTGAAATTCAAGAAGACATAACAAAGCGTATCCCCATATAATTAATAATAATAATTCCAAAGCATGACCGTCATTAGTATCGGGAAAACAATGAAATTGTGTTTTACTCAAACAGAAATATCACTAATTTCTTCGATCAGATAAATATATATATAAACAACACATTTCTTTCAATGTTAGTTCAAAGCATCTCTAAAGAAGAACTAGCATAGCGTATTTAACGTCTGAACGCATAACCAAACTGATCTCGTATCGGTAAAGAGTCAAATCTGTGTCATATTTTATATTAGACTTTGAACTTTAATTGGCCCTTCATTTGTATCCACCATCCAACAGAAGGTCTGTCTGTACGTGTAATAACACAGAACATCGATCTATACGTCATTCATGCGAAACTGAAATGTAAAGTAATTCTCTGTTTTGAAATTTTCAATAAACTTTGAAGTTACATGCTCAATCTGTTAGTGGCATTAACCAAGTAACCGGTCAATAAATACTGTCATGTGTGGTGATCTGTTAACGTATAACTACAATGGCATAGTTTAGTTTGTTCAAGCTATTGTTACGTCTAACTACAATGGCATAGTT